TTACAAAGGAATTGGATCTCCTCACCATGCATACATGATTCTACCACAATGCAGTACAGGTAATATGTAATACAAACTCAGAGCTGTGTCACATGTCATCAGAAGTTGCTGAGATACAGCTCCTACAAAATTTATGGAATTACAAGCTATAGGAACATTGGCCTAAGTCATGTGTAGTTACTATTTGACCTTTTTTTTGGTTTGAGACAAGCTCTCTTTAAGTAGCCCAGACAGGCCTTGAACTCACATGCCCACCATTCATTTATCCATATTTTTCCAGCTCTCCTAAAGTCCTCTCTCAGATTCTCCCTGCATTCTACAGCATGTAGGACCAAGGTGGAGAGCTACCTCTGGGCCACAAATCCACAGAAGAAAGCTGGGTGCTGCAACACTCCGCCATCCCTTCTTTTAGAGGAAGGTGAACCATGTTATTGTGAGATTGTCAAGGCTGGCCTGAAACCTAAGCAGAAACTGTCTACAGTGGCAAGGAATCAACTGCAAGTTAGCATGACAGTTCACCACTCACTTACTGGTACAGTCAAAATAGGAGAATACTGAGGGAGGAAATGAAGTAGGAACAAGAACAGAGGGGTGAGCCACAGTGACTTTCAGGGACAGAACACAATTTACAACTAGACGCTACTTTTTATCTTTAAGCATTTTGAAACCTTTTCTTTTGTGAAACATTCATTAACAAGTCTCCAAGTGTTCTGGTGGTTAAAACAAAACAAATATTAATTGACAAAGACTATGGTTCCAAAAGTATGAACTCAAATGACACAATTCCCCTTAAAATCCCGTGTTTTCTCTTCCAAGCAAGCACCAGAAGGCTGGGAGGCAGGGTGGCTGTGAACAGTGCCCAGACCTTCCTCCTCCTGCAGCTCTCCTGCATACTACCTTTCAGCTAAATAATTTGGATTCTGACAAATCCCTGTGACCAGCACCCATTTTTGGCTAGGATGTGTTCCACAGTACCAATTCCAAATACACAGCAGAGAGTAACATCTCTACATTCAAGGGACCCAAACGAATTCCATTTGAAGTTGCTCCCTTCCTGCTTGGGAGAGCGCTGCATGTCACCATCCCTATTTTCCCAAGATAAAGTTTCCTATTTGAAGTAATGCACACATTATACAATCTGATATATGTTTTTGATTATTTTTCTTTATAGAATAAAACAGAACTTTTATCAGATCACTCTAATACTTTACACCAGTGAAGAGTCCACCAAGTAGCTGAGAACACTGATGAGCAAATATTATAAAACTTACTAAATATACAATGGCTGGTATGACAACAGTATTTTCTTGAAAGCTGAGAAAGTGATCTTGATTGCCAGGTAAAAATCAGATACAGTGTGGGCCAGTAAGTAGAAGACTGTCAGCATTCATGGTTTTTCAATTCAATAAGCAAGCCCAAGACAAAATGACCTAGAACCTGCTTCAGCACTGAATTTTGTTCATTTTCACTGTCCAGAGCGCTCACCATTACATGATGGATATCTCTATCTCTCTCTCTCCTCGCCTTCCTCTCCCTCCTCCTCCATACTGAGAATTAAATTCATTGGCACTGCACATGCTAGATAAGCACTCTATCACTGAACTGTAATACCAATGGTATTACAGTATTATCCTTAAATTCTTATGCTAAAGATAAGATCTTGCTAGGTTTCCCAGGCTGGCCTTGAACTCACAATCCTGCCTCAGCCTCCTAAGTACTGGGATACAGGTATGTGCCAGTACATGTACACATTTCATTATTTCATTTATTTTTAATCCAACTGTGGGTCTGGAGCTGAAGAGCTACACTACCAGCCTAAGAAACTGATGGAATATTTTTCAACAGACATAAGTTAACTTTGTTAATTCGACAGTGCCCTTCCACCATTGAACCAAGGCCTCATGCATGTCAGGCAAATATTCTACCTCTGAGCTATATCCTTTACTTCATTAGTACAAGCTGTGGCTTAAGGCTTTGTCTAAGGATATTCTAGCTTACTGCTTTCTACTGAACCAAAAGGCCAAAATTTCCTGTATTTCCTATGAAATATATAAAGTGACTAACATACAACAGAAACTAAAACCAAACAAGGTGGTAGTATGTTGACTAAATGGTTTCTTTTTCCTCCTCCTCATTAATTGGTGGCAGTACATTTACTGGGAATTCTTACTATCAATTCGTAGTACCTAATTCCCCTTAAAACAAATTTCTCCAGATTTCCAAACTCAGGATGGCATCTCACAAGGACGTCTGATCTGATCTTTAAATTACACACCGAACCTATGCGATCCAAAGACAACCACAACACCTTGTTCAGAATGCACAGTCAGCTCATCATTAACGTGGCCCATGAGTCAGTCTCTTCATGAATCACTATGTAATAATAATAAGTTGCATGTGTTCACATTCATTCCCTATGGAAGAAGTACAGTTTCCATCCATGAAAGGTCTCCAGCAAGAATGGAAAAAGGTCTGAAAGCCCACACTTTGCAAATGATTCAACTACATAATAAAAGTCACCAGATTTTATTCTAATTTGAGCCTTGGGAATTAAAATGATCTTCTGATGAGGTGGAATGACCAAGTAAGAACATTTTGTAGGGCTGCTACTGAGGTTGCTCAGGCTGATCCTGAACAGTTGAAAGAATCAGAAGAATCTCCCACTTTGAAGTTTCTTTTCAAGAGGTAAGTCTTTCTGTGTTGCCAAGGCTGGCCTTGGAATCCTGGTTTTAAGCAATGCTACCAGCCTGTTGAGAGCTTGTGACACCAGGTGAGAACTCTGGCTGAACACTCCCACCCTCTTAGCAAGTGCCTTTGAGGACTTCACCTGACAACAACCACGGGAAGTTTGGTTGCAAGTTCTATGAGCATTTGCCCAAACTACTCACTCAACAGAAAGATAATTAATTTTGCAGCCACTGTTACATTGGAAATTCAAAAATAATAATAGTGAGAAAACAAATTCTTAGAAACATTCAGTCTTTGCTAAAGTGAAAGGCAGGTTTCTGGTGGAGCTGAGCCCTCAGATAGCAGCCTATGCTGGGGGCCCTGACATACTATCAATTATTCAAGCAGAATACTAGACAGAAAAACATTGAAAAGTAGTCCTTTTTTTTTTTTCTTCTTTCTTTCTTTCTTTCTCTTTAAGAAATACAGGGTCTTACCATGTAGCCCTGGATGACCTGGAACTCACTATGTAGACCAGGCTGGCCTCAAACTCATAGAGATGCACCTGCCTCTGCCTCCCAAGCACTAGGACTAAAGGCATGTGTCAGCACACCAGGCAAAAAGCAGTCATTCTTATGTACTGTCAAGATCCTTGGATTATACTTTTTTAGTGTGAGGGTGGAACCCTGGGCCTTGTGCATGCTAAGCATGTACTCTCCCACTGAGCTGCACCCAAGTCTCTGACTTTTAAAGAAAATCACACCTAGTCAACTTTAGTACAGTCTGGCATGACTTGGATTATTCTTGGATGAATTTTCAATAATTCTTTTTTTGTTCTGTTTTGTTTTTCTGAGACAGGGTCTCAGATAGCTGAAGCTAGCCTCTACCTCCTGACCTGAGTACTTGACCTATAGGAAGGTGCTACCATGCCCAGTTTCCAGTAATTTTTACATCAATAATCTAGTTTGGTACACAACTCTCCAAGCAAGTGGAGGAATTACCAACATGTACTAAAGGCTGTAAGCATTCAGCAGCTATGTACTTGATGCAGATTCTTTCCATTAAACTGGACTTCCTTAGCAGTGGAGCTGTAGACTTTATTTTAAGGCACTAAAAATGAAGGGTATGGAAAAAAAAAAAAAAAAAAAAACCCTAGGAATGAGTCAGAGCTTTCCAGAAATAAAAGACACTAAAAAACACACCTTTTTCATTTTCAAACTTACTTCTCTGGCTCAGGCTTATACTCCTCAAAAAGGCACTGGAGATATATGGGAAGGATATGTAAGTGGGAAACAAATCCTTCACGATTAATGATTTTCATTTCATTTCAAACCCTCATAATTAATGAGTTTCATAATGATGGCACTAAGTCCAGATTTCCACGGCTGGGACAGTAACAAGTGCTCTGATCTCTTTTACTGTTGCTAGGAAGAAACATAGGACAGTTGACCTTTTGGGGGTAGGAGGAGGGGGGTGGTTAAGATATGGTGGCCTGGAACTCAGTATGACATCCAGACTAGGCTCTCTAGCCTCTAACTTGTGGCATTTTCCTGCCTCCACTTCCCAAGTGCTAGGATTACAGGCATGGACTACCATGCCCAGTTTAAGAAAATTAACTTTTCAAAAATCTACTTTAAGCCTCAGTCCAGCAGGATTGCCCTGTATTTTTCAAGAACTTCAAATTTGCCATTATTAAAAAAAAAAAAAAACCTAGATAAAACCAAGGTTCAAGTCAGTTAGGTCAACAGGCTAATTCCAGGAAATGAGTGATTTGATAGTGGAGGTAGGCATGGTGGATTCACCCAAAGGGAAAGTGCACACACACACCTATGCAACTGCAGCTAGTCTAGAACGTGGACGGTGGGAAGGCAGAGTGCCCTTCTCCCATCTGTGCACTCTTTTACATGGCAGAGGATCTGACCAAGAGTATTGAGTCCTGGAGAGATAAATCTTGATCTTTCAATGTGGCAGGAATTACAAGTAGCAGTCTAATATTGCCCCTGCTAACTGGGGACAAAAGAGTCTCCTGGATTTAAAGTTTCGGGGCCAAAAAAAAAAAAAATCAGAATTTTGGGTGTAGGTGGAAGGCCTCTGTGGAGGAAATAGAAGAGCCTACAAGTTCAGAAATTAATATAAACAACAGAAACAAGCATAACTTAAAGGAACTTCAGCTAATTCTTGCTGCAACTCAGCCTGGCGCCAAGTGGCTCTGCACTATGCAGGAGACTGAAAGGGCACAGTGGGGATCATTTCCTCCCTGGAAGGCCAGCCTGGAGTGCTGTGGTGGGAGCTGGTGGGGTAGATAGCAGCAGGCTTCAGGCTGGTCCCTGCTCCTAAGGTTTCTGCTTCCCGGCTTTTGAAGGAAAGGGTGCCAAAGCAAAAGGATCAGGAGTAGGCAGCTCTGTAGTCCTGGGGGTAAGGGGTGTGACAGACACTGAGCCAGCTATGGACTGCTTATTGCTTTGTGAAACGATCTTGTAGGCAGCAATGGGCTGGGCTTCTGGACTTGGTTCTTCTGGGCTATAGTGCCGAGAATATTTGGATAAAGCCTGGGGGAGGAATGGTTTGCCAACTGCTGGGCCTGTGAAGGCTTCTTTCTGGGGCTGTGGTCCTTTGTTTCTGTCATTAGGATGGTCCCCAGATTCCATGGGGGATCCCCTGGGAGAGCTGCTGTCAAGGTGGTCTGCTGTCTGGACAGAGTGGGAGGGGAAACTGACTCGTTGTGTAAAACTAGTCATAGAATACTGAGCCTGGACAGGGGCATACCCAGCCCTGTCGCGGCCCAGGAACAGGGGGACTTCACAGGGCTGGCTGAGGCAGGGCTTGCAGGGCGGCTCCAGGGTAGAGCCCTGCACAGCCATTAACTCCTCCACACCCTTCTTCTTGGTAAAAGGAGCTCTCAAGAACACATCCACTTCCTCTGGTTGGGGAGGAGCCATGCTGCCCTTGGAGACAAATGGGGCTTTGGAGAAAATGTCCATGTCATCTACTGGAACCCGTGAGCTCCTGAAGGGGGCTGTGGCAAAGACATCAGGCTCCCCAAGGCTATCAGAGGCCTGCTGGGTGAGAGGCAGGAACTGATTCTTTTTCCCAGTTTGTGCCCCCTTTACTGGCTCAGAAGACACATCACCAGGTTCAGAGAACAAAGCGGTTCCTCCCAGCTTCCCCTGGGGAGGCCTGCAGCCCTCCTCCTCCTCTTCAGACTCAAGGAGAGGCCGAGACCCACTGCTGTCCAATATGTCGCCCTCCAGGTCAGTCCCCTCCTCCTCACTGCTGTGGAAGGAGCTGTTGCTTGATGGGCCATCTCGGGCCAGGTAGTCAGACTCTAAGCTGTTCTGAGTCTTTGCACCAGGAACTCTGCAGGGATCTGGATAGAGGGTGAGGCCTTTAGTGCCCACAGATTCTTTAAAGTGCTCTACAGTAATTACAGGACAAGGACTGGGCTCTCTTTGGAGACCTAGAAAAGCATAAAATAAAGAATTAATGTGGAAATCAGTTCAGAGCTTTTGGAACATTTAATGGTCAACCGAGGCAGATATATAGTGGGACCAAATAATAGATGTTGTAAATGGAAAAGGAAAAACAAAAAGATAAAAATCAGGCAAGGGAAGTGCACACAGACTGGAACACAACCACCATCTCACACTTCAGATTATGGTAGACACAGTGAACAAGAAAGGTGAAAATGTTAGGCACACAGACATTCAGGGTAACTAGGCAACACTCCTACTTGCAGGCCAGGCATGGACACCTGCTCTACCTGGTTCAGAGCCAACGAAAACAAGCCCAGTCACTCCTCTCCACATACACCACTGTCTGGGGATGAACTCAACTCAGTATCTGGTATGTGCTCTAGCACAGAGGGACAGACCCTCTGACAAGTAGAATGTGCCTGTCAGTAAGGGCACACAAGCAGTACCCACAGAGCACCAGGGTGCCCAATGCAAATACCAAGGGTACTTTCTAAGTCATGCTAGATGAAATCATCTTCAAGTGAAGTTGCCCTAGAATTTTGGTTTTAGTCTCCAAAGCAGCAAAGGTCTACTGCTTAAACGAAGCCAACATTAAGTTCTTTAAGCAGAAGTATTAGTAAACTTCAATATGCTAGCATCTGGCTATGTAGATAGAGGTGCCTCTGGGTGCTCTGGCTTTTAAAATCAAATAGACAATTATCAGAATGCAACAGAGCTTACCTTCCAAGAAATATTAGCAGGTTAGAAGTATGTCATTGGGCACATGTTAGCAAGAGGGTAGGAAAAAGGCATATGTAACTAAGCAAGAAGAATCCAGAAAAGGGATGGGGGACAAACTATCATTTCATCATGGGTCCAAAAAATGAATTACCACTGGAGATTCCCAACCCACCAGGAAAAGCTAAAATGACCCAGAGCCCTAGAAGGGACAGCTCAGAAACTATACAGATGACATTGGCCACCCCTTCCCAGCAACCAGGGTTCTCTCCCTCCTGCCAACCTTGGCTTGCAGGAACTTCTGCCACAAATTGCCCCCCACTAACATTTTTGTGGACTAAGCACACAGAGCACAGCAGAAGCAGCATCAAAATCAGTTTATTGGGAAATAACTTAGCTAGACATTACATTTTGAGTATATATAGAGAGGCCTAAATATTTTATTATAAGATACTGTACAAAAATACGACTTTTCTGAATCCTGTAACTTTTTAGCAGTGCTTCTTTTTAAACAGCTGACACTGAGTATTATTTTCAGAAAAGGTTCTCTCCCCATTTTTATTTCCTTTCTCTAACAGTTTGAGCATTCAGTGAATTCTAACTTCAAACATTAAGTTAAATTCTGTATGGCACAGTGTGGCTTTCTGAATAGTATTTGAAGAGTGTGATTTTGAAGAGAATAAACTTTTCCTTGTATTGTAACTTTCCTCTGTGCAGTTAAATGTTGGGCAGAAGTTGGGAAGAAATGAACATAATACCTTCTTTTTCACAGTGTATGTGGAACCACACAATTCTAATTTCTTGGGCAAGAGAATTGAGATTACATCTATCTCAGAGATACCAAGATGACATTTTCTGAGGGAAAACTGAAACAAAAGGGGTGGGGGTGGGGGGAACAAGCTTTCCAAAATAAAACTCACCAAGTGACATAAGAGGCTCCTAAAAGTCCTTACGTCATTTCCTCTTGTAGAAACAGTTGGTCAAAGTTCTCAGTTGCCAAAATGAAGGCAGAATTTCTCACCTTTCCAATGTTACCCTGAATGCTGGTGTTACTATACTGGCTATGCAGGACAGCAAGGTATCTTTTAGCACAAAGAAATGGAGAATTTAGTCGAGCCAGTGATATAATTCTGGCACTGTACAGACTGATCATCAAAGTGACACTGCTCTGACCTGAGTCAGTGATTCGGGGTAAATGAGACTGAATTCAAAACCAAGTTGTGTGCAGACTGCCAAAGAGCAGCTACATATGGACCCAGAATTCCCACCCCATCCAAACTACTCCTGTCAAAAGCAGGCTTTGAGTCAAGCACCCACCAGAAAACCCACCAACCTGGGGCACCTTCTGTGACTTTCTTGGTGAAAAGTAGCATAAACTATGATTAAAATACCAACAGTTTAGAAAAGTTTGTAGTCACTAAAAGTGCATCTAGTGGAGCTTCCTGAAAAGCCCATCTCACAGCCTTTCCATTCTTCTTGGAGGTGCAGTGTGACTAAGGCAGAGTGATCAAGCCTAGTACTTTAAAGGCCAAAGACGTCTATATGCCTATAAGGAGTTCTGGTGTGGCAACACAGGAAACGAGAGTTAAGAGGAGAGAGTCACATAAAATCTTAGTGGCAGTTGAAGGTTTTGTTGTTGTTGTGTTTGGGGAATATATGAATGTGCTCTTAAAAAGAAAGCATGCTTTTAGAGTGAATAGTCCTTGCATATGGAGACAGCCTTGGCAGAATATGTCTGAAGCAGCCTGCCACTAGAGAGGCAATTTACCTTCATGCCATGGTCCAGTTTCTTTGGTAACTAAGAGCATACACAAGATACCTTGTGACCAAAGAGTTAACAGGGGCTCTCCAGAGGTTTAAGCCCAGAGCATGGCCTCAGTCTGCACAGCGTTCTTGCTTGGAGCCTAAGATAGACATTTTGTTATGATTCTCTCAAACTACGTTATGTCTCTTTTTATTTTAATCTAGCTTAGCACATTGATTTAAGCAAGAAGTCAACACTTTTTTTTTTCATGCTGATGTAGGACCTGTGTGCCAGGTTATTAACTCCACTTTAGTCCATTCTGAGTCTCCAAACTATACAGTTTTCAGTAAGAAGTCATGTGCCCTGGGAATAGCGAGTCAGCAGTATTTTCACTAGCCCCTTTGACTCACAGAGACCAAAATGCAGCATGAGTTGGGGGTGGGTGAATGCTTGGGGATGCCATCTGATTGACAGTGGGAGTCATCAGCGTGCTCTCTAAAGAAGCAAAATCTGAGATTAAAAAAATGTTTTTATTATACTATTTGCTTGTATACAGGCGTGCGGCTGCATGTGTCTGTCTGTCCGTCCATCTGTATGTACAGAGGTGTGTGCATGTGCTGTGGTGTTTGAGTGGGGGGCAGAGGACAATTTGCAGGAGTCAGTCCTCTTCTACCATGCAGGTTCTGGGGATCATACTCAGGGAGGTCATCAGGTACCTTTGCCAGCTGAGCCATATTGCTGGCCCAAAAACCTGAGATTTAAAATTCAGGCTGGATCTTCCTTAGTGTAGTGTGACAGAATTTTACTCTTCTCCATACCGTAAACTGAAATAACAATGACAGGGAACATCAATGACATGAACTTACTCAAGACAGAGAATAATGGCTTGGGGTCTCTCATACAGTTGGGGGCCAAAAGCAAAACATCCCTTGATGAGAACTTCAAAAACGTGTCCTGAGTTGAAATTCAGTGTCTTGGAACCAAACCCAGAAATCAAGGGTTGAGCAGCCGCATGGTTCCCATGACTTTGGCATTCATCATGACCTTCAGCATCTGGTTCTCCCTTGTGGTAGGCAGCTGCAGAAAACCCACAGCTGGACAGGGCCAGCAAGGCTATTGATCCTGTGCTTCTCATGCCCAGGGGCAATTAAAGAGAGCAATTCCTCCCTGGGCATCAAATTGTTCTTGTCAGCCTAGTGTTAAATTAACTGGCCCAGTTGTACTAAAGACTAAATTACAGGAGAACAGCTGCAGATTGGTGCTATTTTAACACCCAGGTCTTTCATTCTTAACCATAAAGGTCTTTCATTCTTGACCATCAGGGTCATGACTCACTAACCCTCAGGAGGTCTCTCACAGGGAGGGGTCCACTCACTAAACCATTCAAAGCCCATCTTCCACAAGTATCCACACTTTTTGTCCACTGGTACTTATGGCTACTCAACAGTGTGCTTAACTCCTTTCTGAAGAAGTGGGTATTCAGTTTCGGGAAACAACAACTACCTTAAGTTATTTACACATCTAAACATGTACTCATTTGAACAGATAAAAGCTTTATTCCTCTGTATGTTTACATAAGAAATTTGTGTACAGGCTTATTTATTTATACAATACTTGCGAAGCAGTGTTCATTTTTCACATTTTTACTGCACAAGATAGCTTCATGTACATTTCCTTGCTTTGCCTCCCTGGGGAGAACAAGCTAAAGACCTAAGGTAAGCATCCACTCAGATGACAGAGTGGGTTCAGGACATGGCATCAAAGTGAGAACCAAGGAAATGATTTCTCTCCTAGCAACTGCCATCCTTTGGTAACTCTGTATACGTTACCTTTATCCAAGAAGCTTCCAGTCCTCACCTTCCGCCCCTTAGTGAAAGGAAAACCCAGGAAAAACTAGATAGATCTTGTTAGAGATTATTTGAAATGGAGGCCATCTGGATTCACTCAGTTCAAGAAAAATAAGGACATCAAACTTTGGGAACATTATCAGTGTGGAAAGGAGAAGCCTAATTTTGCACTTGTACAATGAATCTCTAGAGAAGGATACAGGATAGCTTTGCAATCTCTGAAATGTTTCACTAAACACTGTACTCTGAACATTCTGCCAGGCAGCCTCCAACTTGCTTAATTCAGTGTGCAGGGCGAGCCAGTCATTCATATCCCCCAATGCTATGTTAGCAGCAACAGAGCCCTAATTAATCATTACAGACCAAGAAGGTTGGGAACCCTTGCGACTTCAGCTTGGTCCAAGGTGTCTATAGCATTCATCTGTAAAGCTGAGCAGGGAGCCCCTGTCTCAAGCATCTCCTCACTCCCACTACACTGACGACAGAACTATTTATTCCTGACCTGGGGAAAGTTATGTTGGTTTGAATCAAAATGAACAACTATCTCAGGAGTGTAGGAAATAGGAATTGAAAACAAAAATACTGCATCTTGAGAAAAACAAATCCTTTGGGGGGGGGGTCTTCCAATGATTAGCAATCCAAGTTCTAGAATTTTAATCAGGAAGAGCCAAGTCTGTATCTTGAAATGCCACTGAAAAAGTGCCAACTTTTTCATTATTTTAAAACCTGTATCTTTCAAGTTTCTCAACTATATTATAGATGAGGGGACTAAGACAACCCCTCCCTCAGAGCAGTAGTGAAAGCACTTTCTTGCTATCAGGTCTCTCTAGGATTTTCTGTAGATTTTCACTATCCTCAGTAGTCACCACTCTTCATTACTGGAGTGCTTTTGCTTTTTGGAAGTAGCTCAGTGTTACTCAGAGCGGGGCATTAGAAATGAGATCAAGAAAGAATACTTTCAGATGCTGAGGGAGATGTGCCTGAATAGAGCTGCTGTTCCTGCTGCTTACCACCTTCTGCAATGCTACGTCTAAGGAGGGGAGTTCAAACAAGTCACATGGTGCTAGCTGCCTTGCTAGATCAGTATTAACTTCTCAAACAAAACCAGGTTCCTCTGGAGGGAACATTCAACCAGATGAAAAATTTCTGATATGTCTACCTCAATAAAATAATTGTAATGATTAATACTTCGAAGTGACAGTTTGAACCTTATTTCCTCTAGGACTGTTACAGACTCTGGGAATTGAATTTGATTATCAGGGAAAAACTATCAATTTGTGATGCTTTCTGTTGTTTATTATTTATACACAATTGGGACAAGAACAAACAAAAAATGTACACATTATATTTGCCCAAGTTTGATGGCAAATCCCTAACCATACATGTTAAACTAACAAATTTCCTAATACTGATTTATTGGACTAGGTAAGGTTGTATGTATAAATTATAGAAGGAAAATCTATATTCAAACATTTGATGATAAAGATTTTTATTCAGGTAACCAGCAAGTAACAACTAGGTTAGTAATTGCCCATCCTAATCCTCTGCCGTGCAAATGCTGGAGAACGTTACAGGGACGGCAGGAACACAGAAGCTACCCAAAGGACGTCAGGACTATATAATCCTTCATAGTCCTTCCAAATACAAGAGCATACTCTTACAATGCTATGCTTCTCCATCTCAGGCATCACTTGTCCAAACCCACCCTTGTAAATAACCAACAGCAGTTATGAGCAGTAAAATGCCTGTTTAAGGATTCAGGCCAGGTTCTGCGCTGCATGAGGTCCCAGGAGGCCTGAGCTGCCCAGACCCTTCTTTTACCACCCTGCCTTCATCAGCTCAGGCCCACACCTGTGAAATGAAGCAAATGGATTAGCATGCTGGCTCTGCAGCCCCATTTGTTCCGTTTTGTTTCATGGTCTCCAGTTACTACACATCATCCTCTTCTCAAGTCAGTCTCTCAGCTTCAGAACGATGCTAGACTACCTGATTACAAGCCACTAGTTTGTATTCCTCAACAGAAAAGCAGCTCTGCCCTTCAAAGCCTTACTCCTGAAGAATAAGCCCAGGTCTCCTGTTATTACCTCACCCAGGCTTTACCATCTTCCTTGGCTAGAGTCTGCTTTCATTAGAGTCTCTATTAAGCCTTATTGAGCCAAATGACTATACAATGTATCTCAATGTAATTACGCGTGACGCACAAAAGAAAAGTTCAGAGCCACTTAACCTAATTTCTAATCTGCACTCTTCATAGTCTCAATTAAATTGTGAAAGTAGACATTTCATTATATTTCTAACAAGTATGCATGAAAAAAAACCCAAATATGAAAACAGAGAACCAGAACATTATCCTTATTTAAAAATAAACATTTCCTTCATTAGTTTATACATTCTTCCTGGGTCCAGGAAAGACGACACAATTCTGCTCCACAGCCATCTCCCTGTCCACAAAGGGGTAAACCAAGTCCTGCTTCCCTGCAGCCCACTCTGGAGAGCTCTTCGTGTCACCTCCTTCATCCTTGGCAGCACACTGTGCTCCTGGCTGTGGAAACGATCTCTTCTCCTAGCAGAGGCCTTTCCTCAGCTCATTCAGCTGGCACAGGAAGTACTTAAAGTCAGAAGGAAGACTGAGTGTCCACTCTTCCTGCTGTCACTGCTGCGGGCAAAGGTGACCCTCCAGAGGACAGTGCTTGCAGGCTCCAGCTGCTGCTCGCCCCCACCCCTTAAAGTGCAAACGTGAGGAAGAAGAAACAAAGTACTAGATAGAGAACAAGCAAATGGACTTGGAATTTTATTTATACAAATCTGATGAACTCAGAGTTTCCCTTTTGATCCTGGACAATGACACGCAAGAAAGAGAACAAGGAGGTTCTCTGTGCCCACTCCTTTTCAAAAGGATGGTTTTTATGAAAGTGCTTTCCACATAAGGAAATGAAATACACCTTAATGAGTAAGTACACAGAGGGTGATTATGAGGCATGTTGTAGGTGAGTGCAGGGGCCTTTATTTATTCTATGAACAATAGTCTAAGGTTACTGAAGAACTACTTTTTGTTTGTTCTTTTAAATCTAGGAAGCCAAGGAAAGCCAACTGAACATATTCCATTGGCCTTCAATTTAAACACCAGAGAGAAGGTAAGTAGCCACAGTCAAATTGTGCCCAGCACACTTATTTCTGATTATCTGAAAATAAACAACATGCTTGTTCTACAGAAACAGGGGACCTGCTGTAAGCTTAGAGCAAGACATACAATCTACTCAAAATAATTTCCATATGTTACACTGTGTGGTTGCTGTATGGTTATACAAGGGAAAGAGATCAAAACCCTGTACAGACACCTGATATCGACTTAAAATGCCAAGTGGAAACAGAACTATTCAGCATCTTCATTTATACACAATTTACAATATTTGATTCAAAATAAAAATCACAAGAAAAATACATCTGTTTCTGCTACAATTCCTTCCCTTCCCCATCCACCCCCCAGTGAAAAGTCTTCTAGTAAAAGGTATCATATTCCCACCACTGTCTTGTTTTGGTCTAATTCTGTAATCCTGGCTTGGGCCAGGTAACAATGAAATGGAATGGCAAGGCTTGGATTTATATAACATACACATTTAATCCAACGACCTCAAGTTCTTGCAGTCACGCCTCCAGATTTGAGAATTCATGATTCAATGAAAGCCAGAAAGCTAGACAGATGCTGGTCAGGTTGCATGGGGCATTAGACCCCTTGGCTCAGCCTATGACCAAACAAGGTCAAAGGTCAGCTACAGCTGAGTGCAATCTTTCATCACAAACACGCTCTATCGATCAGTGTTGCCCTTGCTTAAACTGCATACTCCTCTCCAGGCTTCTACCTGAAGGTAAGATGAGCTATAGCCTCCATGTCCTCCTGATACCGCATCAGGATGAAAAGCAAGAATGAACACGCATTCATCAGCATCTGGCCCTGGAGATGGGCTGCACAATTGACTTAGGGGCCATTCCTAGCAAGAGTGAGACCAAGTGCCAGTCACCAGGTTCAGTGACAGTCAAGCTTCTGTGAGTGGATTCCAGTAGAGGTGAAGCTCAGGGCAGCTAGCGCTTGAATTAAGATAATGCTACTGAAGATGGGGAATGAGAAAACACAGCAAACTAACAGGAAGAGTCAGCCACGGAATGTATCTGGAGGGTCAGAGTGATTTTTCTTTCCTTATCGTTTCTACAGGAGAAGGCAAGGGGGAGGAGAAAAGGGCTTCAGGACCCCTTATTTGCAGATTAAAAAAAAAACAAAAACAAAACCTCATTTTCCTCATAACTCCGTAATGAAAATGTGTATTACGGCATGAAGTTTACAGAATTGCATCTGCTACTGGATCTCGGCTACAGGTCTATGAGCTGATCCACCAGCAGCAAAGACCTGGCTAGGTTGGGAAGACTGGACTCAGAGCTCCCACTGCTGTTTCTAGAGTGCCCACCTAGAAGTGGAGAGATAGGAATTCAGTATAAAACACATAGGGTTAGGGTTAGATGTGCAGAGCAAGCAAAGTAGAGAGAGAGAGAGAGAGAGAGAGAGAGAGAGAGAGAGAGAGAGAGAGAGAGAGAAAGAAAGAGAGAGACCTAGAGAAGCAACATTTTACATTAAAAAAAATCTTACATGCTGATTTCTAAACTTAACAATTAGCTAGCCGGAACTACTCCCACCGAAAGGTCACTCCATGCACACTGTAGCAGAGGCAGGACACTACAGTGATGCCACTGGATTCAAATGAACATTTGCCTGAGAACTGCTGGCTACACACTAGCCTCCTACCAACACTGAGCCATCTCCACAAGAAAGTAAAAATAAATGTCTGCTCTGGGGACACTGCAGTAAGAACATGATTTTAAAAATAAATAGCTGGTGCTACGGCATTTAGTGTTTTGTGCATGATCAAGTGATTCTAATGTACCCAAGAGGAAAAGGGATGCTCCATAATGTCTACAGGTGTGGCAGGTACCATAGCACCACTGTTAGCTTTGGGGAAGAAAATTTATTACAGATTGTTCTAATCATGATAAAAGTGCTAAATGCTTCTGACATACACCTTCAGCGTCCTATTGACTGAGGAGCACTTTCTTTTTGACTTGGAACTTTGTAAAAAAGTAACTCATCTCCAAATAAATCCCATCGTCAATGAAGCTTTAAGCTTCATATATCAGCATCTCTCCTTGCTGGTCCAGCCCACACTGACTGCCATCACAGTGTCTTTCAACAAATGGTGATGCTCCTGTCCACTATGCGAGGTAGAGACATTCTTACTATTTTGATGAGAACTGATATTAACTTCTTCTCTTTTCCCCAGCCTTTCTTACCTTGTGGATTTTTGGTTATCAGTACAGGAATAGGGTCAAACTCATCTTCTGCCACCTTTTCCGAGCCCTCGGGGACATGGAAAGCTGAGATGAGATTGCTATCTCCTGCAGCTTAATGCAGAAAGCAAGCACACAAGCAGAGACAACAGAAGAGATTAGAAACAGGAGGGCAGCAAAAAGTCACCAAGCCTTCAGCTACAAACTACCACTGTTCTTAAAGATGAAAGTACTTATTTTTCTGAGTTGAAATAAAAGTAGCAAACTGGAAAATACAGACATAGAAGGAAAAAAAGCTTAAGAATTAACCATTGTAAGTGATTAAGAAGGGTCATGAGAAGAATTCTTTGTATTATGTAAAAGACCATAACTATAATTGTGAAGTATCTCTCTAACCAATGTCACTAATCTTTACTGAGTGAACAGAGGCCTAGCTAACAACACTTGAAAAACTAAAAACCTGGGGTCAGAGAAGAGAGAGAAGCAACCATGTATGGCTGGGACACAGTTCAGTGGCAGAGTATGCCTTTAGCAAGTACAAGGCCTTAGGTTTGATCCCAGCACCCTAAACCTCAAAACCAACAACCAAAGAGAAGTAACCAGTTCACAAAATGATAGAATGTGTGAACTGCAGAGAAGCCACAAGCCTCATTAGGGAAAGCCATAAAGCCCTTAAAGTGGCCAAGTAGCCCAAAATGGGCAGGCTGGGCTTGCTCAAGCCTTATCAACAGGTTACTCCCTGGACTGAGAGAGACTTTATGGAACCCATTTGTCTCCTTTAGTGCTATAGATTAACTCACCCACTTGCCTGAGAAAATAATCTTGGGAGAAGAGACCCTGAAGGACACCAGACCCTGACTCAGAGTTGGACTGTGTGCAGGAAAGTTCCCTATATAAGTCCAGGCTGCTCCCCCTTTTGATGTAGATACCCTCATTCCTCAGAAGGGTTTATCAGCCTTTGCTGGGTTCCTGAACAAAGGGAGCACATTCCTTGCCTGTTGTAGGTCTGGCTCTGACTCTTATTTCTAAACTTTAAACTCCTTCCTTTTTCTGCTCTCCTAAACCTAACACAAAAGGCAAGCGAAATACTTCTGGAAAGACTCGTTGCTCTGTGACTGGGACAAAAGAAAAAAAAAAAATTTAAACAACCCAGAACATTGACACCTCTAGCACAAGTCTGTTATAATACTCTCCATTCTAACTAAAGCTAGTTCCCAGTACGTGCTAGCTGGGCGCTTATTCTGCAGGCAATGCTTATCTGTGGTTATACATTGCTGCCAACACACCCCTGCCAGACATCCATTGTCTGAACAGGTAACTTCCTTTACCAACTATAAAATAATTCCCATCCATTACCACTACCACCCATAAGCTTACCATTCTTATCCATCTCTGAGGGCTTCCAAAAAAAAAGAAAGGGCTTAGGCTGATCCTTTTCTATCATTTCTCAAGCACAAAAGCAAACTTGCCTACACATGGCAAGCCATCCCCATCACAGACCTCAGACCTCAATCCAAGCTACTTTGCCCACAGAATCTCAAACCAGACCAATCCAAGACTAAGAAGTGAAAATAGCAGGCCAGAAAGAGAAACCCAGCAATCAACTATGACTTAAGTATAAACTAAAATTCAAAACTTTTACAAGTTCAACCTTTGAGGACTGACTTTTGAGGAATATGTTTCTTTATATTCAAAAACCCTGAATCAGAGCTGATTAAATGACTTCACTTAATAAGGTCAACACGTTTCATATTAACAGTTGGCTCAACCATCTATTTGACTGACCCTTAAGGTATATGGCTCTCAAAAGTAACATGGAATATCTGTATCCCAGTTCTGGACAGAAAGTGACCCCTTCACCAGCCTGTAGTTTCTAAGACCTACTAAATATTCAGAGAAGAATTGCAATGATAACTAAGAGTACAAACCCATGTTTTCCATATAAAGTGGTAGTTTGAACTTTATTAGCAAAGACTTTTGACAAGGGGCACTTTCTAGGACCTGTTCAGTTTTTCTCTTCAGGGTTATATATGGGCCCAAGAAGAAGAAAGAATTTACCTTTGTGGGCAGGAGCAGAGATTGCTATGGGGGCAAACTCTTCCAGAAGGTCAGCAGTAGGGTTAGAAAGTAGAGAGCAGTCAAGTAGAGAGTCTTCCCCAGTGAGAGAGTCTGAGTCCAGTTACCAGCATCCCAAGCAATGATGGCATTAAACAGCATACAACAATATTGTGAGGTTATGTCTTGGCTTTTAAATTATTGTATTTACAAGCCATACATACAAGCCAAGGAGCAGAAAGAAAAATCAAAAGAAAAAGGTAAAGCCCTCAGGACTTTTAACCACATAAAAATATATTTCTAGATTCATCTTAGCATTAACTTATAAATATAGGAATTACCTCAGAAGTTGCTGGTTAAACAAGTCCGTGATTTAAAAACCTATATAACTTAACGACTCAAGTCTCAGTAAATACCATTTGAGAAAAGGACTTTGTAACTAGAGTTTCACTTAAATCTCCCCCCAGTCAGGAAAAAAGTTACTACACAGGGAGGTACTAAACTTGATCAAGGGCTGACCTTAGCTTGCCATTAGTAACCTGATGAGATTAAACAGCACCCTCTACTGCTCTCCCCAGTTTCCATTTAAAATACCTCCTACTAGTATTCTTTAACTCTGAATTCTCCTATGAACATAGTGTGTGCTTTTAGGTGAAATTCAGGGATGAATCATCTGAGCAGAAAGTGTTTCCTGGGAGAAAGCATCACCTTTGGGGTGAATTTTTCCATCTGCATCAGTTTATCATGCCAGACAATCAGAAAACTTTATCAAAGTAATCAGAATTCGTTAAAAATGAATGCAGTCAGATTTGTTTTATGGGCAGTAAAGGAGTTGTACTAAGACCAAATTTTTCAAATGTCAGCAAAAGCAATATTGGATCCGAAGATTTCAGCTTTGCCTACAAGTAAGGAGAAAATCAACCCAAGATGATAAAGTCCTGAGCTGAAGAATGTCAATAGGAATGAGGCAAGGTCCACAAATTTAAGTGTCTACCGACACAGTATGTGTCTGGGAGTGGGAGGGGGCAATGCCTGCTTAATGTAGTTGGAGGGGTGAAGGCAACCCTACATCTAAGCAGAGATCTGCTAAAGAGGTGGTGGCAAAGAATTCTGAATAAAGAAATTTTGTAACCAGGGCAAGCCCAGAGGTCACTCTAAGAACACAGATCCAAAAAGCACTCAGTTCTTTAGCAGAACATATGCTCAACACTGGAAGCCAAGCTGAAGTACAATTTACAATATCCATTGTAGAACTAACCAGGTGGCACATAAATGGAGTCTCATCTGTCACAGGCTGGAAGCCCAACTCAGAGGCTCCACCCTCACCAGCACTGCAGTTACTGGGACCCTGACTGACCTGTGCGGTTCGAGGTCACTGACTCCGTCTGAGATGGGAGGCGCTGGGCAACAGGAGGCTCCAGTCCAGGTATGAGACTCTCAACAGCAACATCGGCTTTTTCTTTTTTATAACGGCATTAAGAACAGAGAGGAAAGGGTAAGGGGAGGAAGGAGATGTCAGCAGCTGTTCAGGACATTCTGTGAAGGCTTGCTTCCACAGACCTTAGGCAAGCGGCAAAGCATAGCCAGAGCCTTATTTCTACAGCTGTATCTTGGCTTCCCTGATTGAGCATGCATGAGCAAGGCTAGTTAGCAGTCCACCTCCATAACCACCAGCTCTTACAAATAAAGATGGGTATGAGCCACTCTCCAGCTGCAAATTTCTTCTATACCAGAAATATTGGCTTACATCTGTAATCTAACCACTAGGGAGGCTGAGGTAAGAAGATCACTATGAGTTCAAGGCCAGCCTGGGATATATACACCTTCATTCATCATTAGTTTGGGTAATTTTGCCTTTCTCACTTGGTATGAACATCCTCTAATTTAATACAAAAGTCTCAAATTCACCCTACCCCATGCCATGATGAAGCGGGTTTCAATGTCTCTAGTTGGAAGCCTATCTTTCTGTGGGGTCATGGCATTCCTAAGTTCTAGCACTTTTTGTTCAAAGACATTATGATACTTCAAATGGCTGAGCCCTTCAAGAGATCAGAGACATTTTGTAGATTTTACTTATCAAGCACAGGAAATGTAATCAAATATAGACCAAGACCCTGCTCTAGTGTAATCATGGGGCTTGACCAGGCAAAGACTCCCTGTTAAGGTATTTGTTACATGCACTGACTTCTAATGAAAAATCTGTTTAAGTCTATTAAGTCCAGTGATGCTTTGGTTGAGTCAGAAACCAACTGTTGCCATATTCCTCCTTACATACTCAATTACTAGAGAAATCACAGGACATTAATAAAGGCCAGAGTTACAGTGTTGTGCCCATGGAAAGCAGATGAAGACACTTCATTTGAAGTAGTGGGAAGGAATAAAATTCTTGGCTCTTTAGCAACAGACACAAGAGCCAGGCAGCCTCCGGGCAGGTCTGCTCCTCCCCAGGGCTATCCCTCCCACATACAACAGGCACAACTGAAAACAGATGGTGACTTTACCAATCACAGCATCAGAAGTGCTGCCGAAAGGATCTGTCATAGGCAAGAGGTCAGGAAGCAGAAGAGAAGTGTCAGGAGATTTGAGTCCCTCAATTAGTTTTTCTAGGTTGGGAGAGAAGGAGAGGAAAAGAAAAAGAAAAATGCAATATGATCTTAAAGCAAGTGGATCATTTACTGTTTTTCATGCAAACACAGTTTAGGACTCAACATTTAGTACCGATTCACCATAAAAATGAATACCATTAGTCTCTTGTTAACAATAGGCTTTCCAGAGCTGGCAAGATGGTTCAGCAGGTCAAGGTGCTTGATACCAAGCACAACAAACTAAGCTGTATCCCTGGACTTACACGGTGGAAGGAGAGAATTGACACCCACAAGTTGTCCCTTGACTTCTACACACACACACACACACACACAGAGTAAATAAATGTGATTAAAACAAATGTGATTAACCAAATTTAAAGGTTAAAAGGCTATTTCCCCAAGTGAAGTGGCCACTTTGTAGGACCCTTAGGACATAGTCCTTGGGTTTGCTTATCACTGGTTTTTACTTGAAGAATAATTTACATATGATAAACATCACTAATTTTAAGTGCATAATGTGGTAAATTTTGGCAAATTTATATATTCACATAATCATCACTGAAGTGATGATATAGACTATTTCTGACACTTTCAACAATTCTCCTGTGCCCCTGTATAGTAAGTGCATCATCCCACCACAGACTTGGCAACAGTGAACTTGCTTTCTGTCTATATAGTTTTGCCTTTTCCTGGTTTTTCTTTCTTCCAAAGACAGGGACTCATGTAGTCCTGGCCTCCAACTTGCTATATAGTTAAAGATAACCTTGAACTTCTAATCTTTAATCTTTCTGTCTCTACCTACCCAGTACTGGGATTAGAGGCATGTGTCACCATGCCTGTTTTATGGGATGTGGTGGATTGAACCCAGGACCTGGTAGATGCTAAGTAAGCACTCTAGCAGCTGAGCTACATTCCAAGCCCCAGAATTTCCATCTTAAATTGAACCATATAGTGTCAGAATTCCTTCTCTTAGCACAGTACTTCTGATAATCATCCATGCTGCAGCCTGTCTCAGTAGCTATCCTGCCATATTGCTGAGTGATTCTCTATAGTGGAGATGTGCCACTTTGTTGATTTAGTCACCAACTGATAGACATTTGTTTTGTTCCAGTATTTTCTTATTAATATTTGCATAAGTATCTGTGTATTCATTTCCTAGATTTTTCAACTTATTTTTTTAACTTGCTTAGAAATAGTTTATAATTCACCAACAAACCCATTTTAGCCTTGACTAAGTCAACTTCAACACTCACCTACTGTCTCCTGACTGTACACCTATACAACAGCATTCTGACTTCTGTCAGTTGTGTAACAGGTACTCAGAAACTCCTCACTTGGGTCTGAGGTAACCTTAAAAGCAGGATGAAAGCCTGGCATCTCTGCTTTCATTTTGTATCTATCTCTTTTACCTTGGGTTAGAGCCTTGTTTGGCTCTGCATGTATGCATGTTAATCCTCAAAGGAGTGTCTATCTAAAAACTAATGAGACACGGTTGATTGCCCTAAGCTCCCTAAATTTACCTACCATCTCATCCTACTTCAAGGCTGAAAGTACAAACACATCAGTAACTGTCTTACTGTCGGCTTTTACTAGGTCCTGTTCGGATCCCTCAGGTCTCTAGAAACTTCCATTCACTGTCCTAGTTTTACAGGAACAGAGATCACCCCAGGATGAGCTCACCCCTAAATGGGACAATTACTCCATTATGGAAACTGAGGTTGCCCACCTCACTAAGCAGGAACAATCACCTCGTGCCTCAGAAGCAATAAGGACTTCTATAGTAGCCCTAGATTTCTTATCCACTTCCCCATGTCTTTGAGCTTGCATAGGGCTTGTGCATGTTGTCACCAATGCTATGAGTTCATATGAGTAACTGACCAGCTATCTGGAAGACTCTGTTTCCTTGTGGTCATCCACCTCCCTCTGGCTCTTACAATCTTTCCACCTCCTCTTCCACAATAATTCCTGAGCCTTGGAAGGCAGAGGTTTGAAACAGGTGTCCTATTCAAGGATAAGAACTTTGTGGATTCTAGTTCTCTGCACATTGGCCAACCATGGGTTTCTGTATTAATCATCATCTGTTTCATATGGAAACTTCTCTGATGAAGCTGAGAGATGATCTTGGTCATACCACACCTTGGCATATACTCAATGGACTCATCCTACAGAGATACTTGCATAGCCATGTTGGTTGCTGCTCTTTTCACAATAGTTAAGAAATTGAAACAACCTGATGGATACTAAAAATGTAGTACACATACACAACGGGGTAAAGAAAAACAAAATTGGGGCTGGAAAGATGGCTCAGTGGTTAAGAACACTGGTTGTTCTTGCAGAAGACCCAGGTTCGAATCCTAGCACCCACATGGCAGCAAACAACTGTCCGTAACTCCAGTCCCAGGGGAGCCAACAGCCTCTTCTGACCTCCGTGGGCATTGCATGACACGGGTGCACTTACCTACAGGCAGGCAATACATGCATACACATAAAATAAAAGAAATAAGTAAAAAGTTAAAAAAAAAGAAAAACAAAATTGTGAAATTGCAGATAAATGGATGGAACTAGAAATGTTATATTACGTAAAGGAATAAAGACTCAGAAAAACCAGGGACATATGTTCTCTCTTATTTGTGGATCTTAGTTCCAAATCCCTAAATGTGAGTATATATCCTGATATAACCACAAAAGCCAGGAAAATAGAAAGGTACTATGGGGATTACAGGAAAGAAAGAGCTTGAGAGAGGAGGATAGTCGGAGACAGATATAAGTAGGAAGAGGAAATGGGGAAAGGGGAGTACTTTAACTGGGGAGGGAGTAGTGAGAGTTATGGGGGGGGGCGGTAAGAGGAGAGATAATGTTTAGATGGTATGAAAAGCCAGAGGGAAATGTATTAGTTCAAAGTCCTACTGGAAAATACACATTCTCTCTCTCTCTCTCTCTCCATATCCATATATATATATATATATATATATATATATATATATATATATACACATGTGCATATAACAAAAACCACAGTGCTGGGCAGGAGAAACCTCCCTTCAAGTTGTTGGTCAGGGTGGTTTAAGAGACTCCCAAAATAACACAAGCTATTGCCACAGTCCTTGACTGCTTCCCAGAACTTGAAGGTAACACCCTATTGCTGAAGACAGGCCATACTTTGGACATAGGACTTGAAGCAATTGAGCTGAAACTGACCTAGAAGTCTCCTACCCTAGACTAGCTCTCATGGTATCCAAGGATACTATACAAGCTACCAAGGGTTGGGGGGGAATCAATCAATGGACCTACCCAGCTGTAAAGTCTAATAAACAACTGGCCCAGTAAACTATCACTACTGGTGCACTAGTGGCATTACCTTGGGGGTAATCAACAGCTATCTAATTGGAATTAAGGCCCATGCAAAGGGAGGGAACTCATGTTTAGTACTGTAAACGTAGCCAAATACACATGGTGGAGAGGTCAGAGATCCTAGGGAAAAACCTACTTTTGCCAAATCCCTAGACCAATGTAATTTCTAACTTTATTCTAATATGTATCCTCATATTTACAGACAAGGGTACCTTTTACTCCTCATCAAAGAAGCTTCTTTTTACAACAGATGGAAACTATTACAGAGTTCCAGAACTGGTCAAACACAGAGAGTAAGTGTTTGTGAAATCCTTAACCCTAAATGGCATATATTCAATGCAACCTCTACATATAGGATCAACACTTTGCTTGCTTTTTAAAGGATGAGTAGAAGGACCTAAAATTTGTTGGGGGAAATCACTGATTTCCCACCCCCATCACACTTCTGGCCTAGAATTCTGCTTATAGTTTCATCTCCGAGATTCACTTAAGTCTAAAGATGGATCACTGGTGTCCTATTCAAGGAGAAGAACTTTGTGGATTCTAGTTCTTTGTGGGGCAAAGAAATAAAAGGATATCAGAATTTACCATCTGTCACATATAGTAATTTAAAGTATGACAACAATAGGCACATTAAGATAACTTACAAAACAACTCCTTTAGCCCTGATACATCAACAACCTTTCATCAGGCTTAAGGTAGAACATTAACCTGAGATTAACCTTTCTCAGGTAGGGAAAAAGAATGAATTGCCAGATCTTACAGAAGGGAATTTTTAGAGTTTAAACTTCTGTTACAAGAAAATTAAGGCCACATAAATTCTAACTTACCCAGATAAACCAAAATTAAAATGCTTGAGAAAAAAGGAAGTGGCTTATAAAGCTCAAATAAATGCATGAACATTTTACTGGATCTACAATCTCCTAGACCTTTGAGAACTGATACAAACAACAAAGGGGGATGCTCATTGAAAGAGGAGCCAGCTTCAGAGAGCTGAAACTGAGGCAATCTAAACCTGCTCAGACCAAGCAAAAGAATCTAAAGTCTCAGCAAGATGGTTTGCTTCAGCATAATTAACTTGCTGCAGAAGAAAGACCTTTAAAATGTGAAGCCAATTCATCATCTTTTGGAGAATGCATTAATTACATGACAATATATTACACTTAACACTTATATCTGATTTATATTAAAGAAGAAAGGAAAGTTCTCAAAAGCAGGGAGGTAGAACAGCAATAGGAAACTAACCAAGCATAAAACACAATCACATCTGTATTAATCCTGCACTGTATATGATATTAAATATTGTGATTATTAGGGGCTGAAGAGATGGCTCAGCGGTTAAGAACACTGGTTGTTCTTGCAGAAGACATGGGTTTGAATCCCAGCACCCACATGGCAGCTAACAACTGTCTGTAACTTCAGTCCCAGGGGAGCTGACAGCCTCTTCTGACCTCCGTGGGCATTGCATGACATGGGTGTACTTACCTACATGCAGGCAATACACACATATACATAAAATAAAAATAATAAACAAAATTGTTTTTAAAAAGTTGTGATTATTTTTATGTGTATGAGTATTTTGTTTGCATGTATATAAGTGCACTCATGTGTGCAATGCCCATGGAGATCAGAAGAGGGTGTCAGATCCCTGGAATTGGAGTTACAAA